ACTAAAATCTAAACAGATATAGCAGAAGGGTCTTAGTACTAAAAATAATTAAAATAGTTAACTGTCTGTTTTTTAGCTATACCGCGGTTAGGTATAAAAATTTTCTTGACCTGGCTATAACCTGGCGGTCAGGTATAAAAATTCTAATTAACCTGACCTGACCTGGCCGTTAGCCACTCTACTACTAGTATTAATTTTATATCCGAATAGATATATTCTTTATTATTTTACATAAAAGTTAATAGACTTAAAAAATAAAAAATAAAAAATATTTTAGATTTTATATAGAACTACAGAAGCTGTAGTTATTTTTAATTATTATACATCATTAAATTGATTAAATATTATAATCTGACTATAGAACCCGCCGACTATTTCAAAAATATTTATTAGATTATACTAAATTTTTATTACTAATATTCTAATAAGTCTAAATCTCGTGATTTTAACAAAGCTCGGTTATAAAAAAAATTTATTATTATAATATAATTTTAACAGATCTATTTAATCTACTTAATCTAATTAATCTGTTTAATCTATTTAATCCGATTAATTTAATTAATTTATTTAATCTATTTAATCAATTTAATCTGTTTAATCTGCTTAATTTATTAATTTATTTAATTTTAGTAATTTAATCTGTTTCTTTTAACTATCTACTATATTTAATCCTGTGTTTATTTAAAAATTTATTTATTTTTAAATCTTTTCATAGTTTTTTAGGCTATATTTTATTTATTAATCTATATATATAACTTAATATATAGTATATAAAACTAAATAAATATTATTAGACTTACTAGAAGACTTCTCAGATCTTTCTACCAGTTTTTATTTATTTTATTACCCAGTCAGCCAGCCCGCACCTTAACAATAATTATATTACTAATCCTTTTTTTATTATTAATACCGAGCTTATTAATATAAGTTGTCTTATTTTTAAGTATTAATAGTTGTTAGGTGGTAATAAAATAGAAAAGAAAATCAAGTTTAATATTAGAAATATAAAAAATAGTATATAAATATTTTTTTTATCAGATTAAAATATTCTGTACTTAAAACCGGAATCAGATATCTTCCGAATAGAGACTTGTAGGATTAGAGTATAGATAATTATTTAATAAAATATAATATTATATAATTATCTCTATTTTATTAATCTAGTTTTTATATTATTTTAAATAGTAAAATCTATTTTTTTAATTAGTTTTTTCTCCGCGTTAAGCTTAATAACAGGTAGAAACCTAATATTATCTGATTATATATTATATCTGATTAGATTAGATTTCTATATCTATTTATTTAGATTATATTTAAATAATACTAAGTTACTACCGAGTTAAGTAGCTAATTAAATTTAGATTAGATTTATAAAAAAGAAAATAAGTATTTTTATAATATCTATTATTATTATTTAATCTTATTATAGCTAAGCTTGTATATAGATATAAATTCAGAATAATATATAATAGATATAATTTATTATATAAAAATAATTAAATTAAAATCAAATAAAAATCTGATAAAATACTGTTACAGTCTTTTCTAAAAATATTTAATAATTTTTATAGTTTTATTTTTTTAGTTAGACAGCTAGAAGATTTATTTAATTTATTAAAAATTTTTATTATATCTTATTAGGCTGACAGAGTAACTAGTAATTATTAAATAAAATATAATAATACAAAATATATAAATAATTATTATTATTTTTTATTAATTATCTAATACTACTCGCAAGTCATATTAGAGTAATATAATTAAATAAAAGGATTAACTAATATACTAAATATGTTTACTATTTAAATACTATATACTATATAATATTTTTTTAGAAGATATTAGAACTGTTAAAACTAATATTTTTATAAATGTGAAAGCCGTTCAAATGATCAAGAATTAATGCATTTGGTGCTAAGATACAAGAATTTCAAGCATGAGGAGAAGAAGGAGAGGAAGGGAAAAGAGAAACACAAGCCCGTAGCTTATCTGTTGCGGGACGGCTCGGAAGACAAACAAAACAAACACTACGAAGGCGGTAAGCAGACTAACTGGGTTCGCTGGGTTTTCGGGGTTAAATAGGTCAATTGGGTAAATCGGGTCGATGGGGTATTCGGGGTGCTTGGGGTCAGTTGGGTGTGCTAGGTGTACTGGGTCAACGCGGTGTACTGGGTCAACGAGGTGTACTGGGTGTTGCCTTCACAATTTAGAAACTTTAGTTTTTTAGTTTTTCATATTATTTAATAACTTTATTATTATTTTTTCTGCGTTTATTTTTCTTTTTTTTTAATATAATAATCTAATTTTCCAGTTTTATATAGATTTATATTTTTTATAAAAGTTCTTTATATTAACTTAATATTTAATATTTTTAGTTATTTTATTTATCTCTGAAGTAAATAGTTCTAAAAATAAAGATCTTCTTTAATTTTTAATTAATTTAATTAGATAAGTATATTATAATAAAAATAATATAAATCTTTTAGACAATTTTTTCTTTTTTATTATTATTTATATTCTGTTAGAAGAATATATTTTTATAATTTGTTTTATTAATATATTTTATTATTTATAAAAAATAAGTAAGATGGTTAGCTTTATTCTAGTTTTATTTATTTAAAGTAAATATTAAGAATTATTACTATTTACTTATTTTATTATAAATTAGATATTTTTATACTGTTTCTAGTAATATATTTTTTCTATATATTTTAAGTAGTTATTCTATAGTTTAATCTAATATAACTTTACTAATAGTAACTTTAATTAGTTAAACTATAATTTATATAAAATTAAGTATAATATTTTCTATAATTTTATAAATTGTTTTTTAAAATTAAGTTCTATTACTTGCTTATTTTTATTTTTATTATTATTATCTAAATATATATTATTTAGAAGTTTTTTATATATAATTAATAAATAGATTAATTTATTATATAATCTAATTATATTATTAGATATTATAAAAGATTGTTGTATATTATAATAAAAAAAATATTATAGTATATTATAAAAAGTTATTAGCAATTATTCTATAATTTTAAGAACTATTTATAAAAAAATATTAAAATCTTAGTTTAAAGCTAAAATAAAAGTTAAAATTTAGTTTTATTTATCTTACTTATAAATAAAAAAAATAGATATTATATTTTAAGAATATAAATTTTAAAATATATTTACAAAAATAAAGAGATTATTACAGAAAATAAAAAACTAAAAAAAACTAATAAGAAGAATAAGAAAATAAAAAAAAGATTAGTATAAAAAATAAGAAGATAAATAATAAAAAATATAAAAATAAAATGATATTATATAAAAAAAAGATTTTAGTTTTTAGTAAATAATTATATATATAAAAAATTAGAAAAACTATATTAAAAAAAAAGTAAATAGTAAAATAAGATTTTAATAAAATAATATTTATTTTTAATAAGATTTCAATAAAATAATATTTATTTTTAGTAAGATTTAAATAAGATTATATTTACTTATATCTTAATTTATAAAGTAGAATAGTTATAATAATAATTTAAATTATTATTATAAATAAGTATAAATAAAGAATAGAATAATTAGTATAATTCTAAGATTAAAATATATTATAATAATAAATAGTATAAAAACTACTTTAGATCTAGTAAAAAAGATATAATTTTAGTATAATTTATTATTTATATAAAGATTAGTACTTCTAGATTTAAAAGGCTTATAATTAGTTAGAATTTTATATAATTTTATTATAACTCTATATAACCGGAGTAAACCGCAGTATAACCACTGTAACTTACCCCCTCGGCCCGCTATGTAGTATCTATCCAGCAGCGTTGATATATTCAATTAAAGTTATCCATTCGCGATTCCCTGGCTGTATCAGAAAGGGTTTTTCTTGATATATTAAGCATGTAATAACTTTAGTAGTATCTAGGATATTTATAATAAAGCCAGTTTCATTAAAATTATAGATATTTTTATCAATAATGCCGTATGTTAATAAAGCAGTTTATACACGTCTGAATTATATCTGAATAGTTTCAGGTTCTTTATATCTTACTTGTTTGTAGTTTATTTGACGGCTATATCGACTTTTCAAGAAATCATGTCTTGAAATGTAGTTGGTAACCCATTTTTGCCCGACAGAAATAGTTGTATTTTGTCCGCGCTTTTGAAGTAGTAGATTTGCTATTTCACGGACTTGAGAGTACTTTGGTGGTGTACCATGTTGATCTAATAATACAATCTATTTTCCAAGCGATTCTTCCTCTATAGAGGTTAATTTATGTGAGTTGGCTCTGGTAGTCTTGCGAAATTTGTCTATTTAAGCGATCTTAAAGTATTGATCGAGGAACTTGAAAAATACGTGCAGCTTCACGGATAGAGTTTGTATGACCTTTCTGAATAGCTTCAACTGCTAAGCAGAGTCTGCCCTCTTGTTCCACCCACTCTTTTGATGATTTAGGCATTTTTGGTGGTGTAATGGCTGTTTGGATAGCATCGCTTTCGGAGGCGCGGACGAGTTTCGATGGGTGGCCGACTCGCTTACGTGGCCGACTCGCTTGCCGCTTACGTTAAGTCGCTGATGTGATACGCGCCATCCTGGGGGGGGCTTGCTTCAATGTATCATGCCATGAACCAGCCGTACATCCATCCATACTGAGTTCAAAATTTAACGGAAAAGGACTTGGTGAGATCCTCCATGAACGGTCCAGAAGCCTTGTGCAGAATACATATAGATGGATCCTATTTAGCCTCCAGCAGCACAAGTCCACCCATCCACCTTGCCTAATGGTTGCTAATCGTTCACCGTAGTCCAGCCCGTAGTAGGCAAGTCTCGGGAAAAAAAAAAGTGCCAAAAAGCCCGTCCTTGGCAAGTGTCTTCCCCGCTCCTCGTAGTAACCTGTACTGACGCCCACGCCACGGAGGACAACCCAGCAGACATGTCTCAAAGTCCCACATATCATGAGCAATCTGGACATCAACGGCATGCGTCGAAAAGAGCACGAATGGGTGAGCGTACTCTGTTGGCTTGCATCGGCTGCAAGCAGCGCAAGTTGAAGGTGAGTCCCGGGGTTTTCTTTTCTTTTTCTTTAATCCGCCAATTGGCTCAGGAGTATGGCATTTTTGAGGAGGTGCATTGAGCCTGACTGGGAGCCATATCAATCGATAGTGCGATGGAAGAAGTCCAAAATGCAATAATTGTACACGAAGGGGTCGAGGTAGGACTCCCCGTTCCCATGCATTGACCTTTTTATTTTCTTTTCTTTTCTTGTTTTTTTTTTCTCCTTTTACTGATAGCGCCCTAGATTGCCTGGTCGAAGACCCAGCAACGGGCCTACATCGCCCTCGGGATTATATGCAAGCCCTGGAAGCTCGCGTGGCTTACCTGGAGCGACTTCTGCAACAGCACCAGCCGGAACTGGTGCCGAATGATTCGCATCCTACTAATTCGTCTCAAGGAGCTGTTGCCCTTGCTAGCGATTCAGGCTCAGCTGTCGTGGAACCCTCACCGAACCTGGACTCGCTCAGCAAGGAAGTAGCACTGCTATGTTTGAGTGCTGCCGGCCGTGAGCCGCAATTTTTTGGACCATCTTCGGGCGTCTTCTTCTCTCGTATTGCGAGCGCTAGTATTAATTTCCCCGTGAAGCCCCCGGGGTTGGGTGACTTTCCCGAGAATAAAGATAACAGTAGCACGTTTCGCCCCAGCAGGTCACAATGGACCACACCAATCTCGGCGGTGGAACTCCCATCCCCGGCTAAGGCGGCCTTGCTGTCCCAAGCCTACTTCAACAGCGTCCATCCACAGTATCCGTTTTTACACCGGCCGACTATCCAATCCATGGAAAAAGAATGCCTCAGTGCCAGTGCTTCAGGTGAGATCAGTAGCGCTGACCCGGTTTCATTGTTCTTCGTTCTCATGGTAAGAAGTCCTTTGTCCGCCTCGCGGTGAAGTCGGGGTCGCTGTGCTCACCTTCTACACAATATAGACATATGCAATCGGGTCCCTCGTCCTAGAGCAGTCGGAGACTGAAGCGGCTCAAGTAATTGTGCACCAAATCGTGTTACACCTTTCTTGCGTTTGCTGATTCCAGGAGGTGTTTTTCTCATGGGCCCTTGATCGCCTTGAACCTTTGCTTCACATCGATGGGCTGCAGTCAATCCAGGCTCTTCTTTGCTGTGCGGTCTACTCAATACGCTCTTACAATGGAGCTAGCCTTTGGTATGCTGTCCTTCGCATGGTCACCTTGACGACGACCTAGGCGATCCTCGAGAGGAAGAGTAGGCTTCTTCCTCTTCTTCAGCAGCAGCTAATGTGGCGGTGTAGGAAGCTCTCCGGCATGGCCATTCGACAGTGCGTCGAACTTGGCTATCATCGCAGTACTGAGAAGTACCGATCTCGCACCGACGTCTTGACCAAGGAGATTTCCAAGCGATGTTTCTGGGTGGCTTACGATTTAGATTGTGTCGCGTCATTCACCCTAGGACGGCCAAAGGGGATATCGGACAATGTCATCGATGTTGAGGTACGGTGTCCGGTCAATTTTAACGAAATGCTAGCACTCCGGTTTGTCCACTAATGGAGAGATCGGGAAACAGCTTCCGAGCGATATCGATGATGAATATATTACTTGCCAAGGTTTTTTGCAGCCCCCGCGTTCTTCACAGGCGGAAGCTCACACCACTATGACCGGCGCTATCCACGTTGTCCGACTGCGGCAGATCTGGTCCAAGATCAGCGACAACCTCTACTCCAATACATCAAACTCAAGCGATGGCAATCCTTCTGATTCGACGTTTCTCGAAAGGCTCCGTCTGGAACTCGAGAATTGGCGTCTGGGAGCGCCCAATGAGCTGGATACTACCAATGTTTCCTCTCTCGCGGTGTTCGGGTCGCCAGATTGGTTCCATCTCGCTTACGACTATTCGATTCTTCTGTTATACCGCCCCCTCATCACTTGCCAGCCCGAACCCCTGGGCGATATGCAGCGGTTGGAATCCATCGATGCTGCCTTCCAGGTTTGTTTCGACTGCGCCCGCGATATTTGCCAGCGATATCGGCGGCTATACCAACGTCAAGGCCGCGTACATTTTACTTGGGGTAGCCTGCATATCTTATTCCTTGCCGGACTGACTTTTAATTACTGCATTTGGCGTTCACGTCGGCTCCGTGAGGACACTACTCCCGGGGTAGTTGTCAATACCTGCATGGCGTGTACCACACTGCTGGCGATTATTGCCGAGCGATGGAGCCAGGCCTCGTCCTACCGGGATATATTTGAGACCCTGTCGGAACGGACCATCACCATGATGCACAGGGATTATCCGCATGGCGCCCGGAGAGAAGAAGCCGCAGTGTCGCCTCCCGCTCGAGCGATGGAAGCGATGTCATCTTGGGCCACAGGCTCTGGATTAAACTCCGATGGTGTGGATTGGATGCGTAGTGACCACAATCTGGCAGAACATGCGGACTTCGAAGCTTATGCGCCATTCCAGGAGTGGATTGAGGGACTGGACGATGGGCCACCGGCTGGGGGGTTGCCATGGTTCAATCAATGACTCGTTCGCTCGAACATTAAAGAACTCCACACCGTGCTAAAGCTTTCTTGCTTCTGGACGGAAACGAGCAAGTCCATGCCGGTTTTAATATCCTGGTCTTCATTCAAGCGTTTAGTCATTTATGAGATTAATTCGACCTCTGCAGTCTGGCAAGTAGGGTCGTAATCAACAATCAAGAAACTCCAGAATCTGCTTCCGATAGACGTATTCATCATTGTCAGAGTTGTACACTAGTGAGAATTTCCGAGTATCCTTAATCGACCTGCTAAACAGGGTTGTTCCCTCTGCCTGTCTTTTTTCCGGCCGGTAGAAGTGGGTTATTGCGGAGTGGCCGCGAGATAGGCCTACTATCCTTCCGTACCGTCGCAAATGGTAAAGTAAGGAGTGGGGCTCCAACTGGACCATTGACGGGAGAAGCCGAATGTCTTTCCGTCGTGTGCAAACATGCCGGAAGTTCCCTATTTATGCTTTGCCCCACTGATAGATAGATAAGGCACGAGGAGGGGGAGGGGCATTTCCTGTTCAAACTTATAAATTATTGAGGAAGCTGAGGCCCGATATTTCTTTTGTCATTCCGTCTTTGATGAGATTATAGACTTGTTTCTTTCTGCCAAAGCTCTTTGTGCCTTGACTCCCTCCAACACACCATCCAGCGCCAAAAAAAAATAAAAATAAAAAAAAAAATGTCTGCCACACAAAAACCACGGATTGTTGCCTTGGGCAAGCCGAGATATGTCGGAGAGGACTACCTCGCTGAGTTCCAGAAGGATTTCAACTACTCCGTACTCGAAGCCTACGACCGCGCGACCACCCAGCGACTGCTCGCGGAATCGATTGCTCGGGACGGTCCAATTGACGGATTTATCATCCGAATGGGCACGCCGCCCTACGAACCTTTCGATATGGAGCTGCTGTCTAGCCTGGCCCCCAACTGTCGCATCATCACCTCAGCCAGTGCTGGTTACAATGAATTCGATGTGGAGTGGATGACCAGCCAGGGCATGTATTTCTGCAACACCGTCGACGCTGTGGCGGAGAGCACCGCGGACATGGCTATCTTCCTGATTCTTGGCGTCCTGCGCAATACGACCAATGCTGAGCGTCAAGCCCGCGAGGGTAGCTGGCGCGCCGATCTCGTGCCCACTGCCGATCCCTCCGGGAAGGCCTTGGGTATCGTGGGACTGGGAGCCATTGGCAAGGTATGAACAAAGCCCTCTTTCCTCTCGAGTCGTCCCTTTGGAGATGTCAAGCCCAAAGTGACCGTGCAGTGACCGTGTGGGCTGACCACTTACGTCCCATGCGTGTAGTATCTCGCCAAAAAAGCCGCAGTGTTCAACATGCGCATCCTCTATCACAATCGCAACCGGCTGTCGCCGGAAGACGAGAAAATCTACGGGCTCACCTACTGCGAGACCCTGCATCAGCTCCTCCAGCAGTCCGATGTGGTGTCCATCAACTGCCCGCTCAACGCCCAGACCGAGGGATTGATCGGCAAGGAAGAGTTCGCGGTCATGAAGGATGGCGCTTATTTCATCAACACCGCCCGGGGCCCCATTGTGGATGAGTCGAGCCTGATCGAGGCCCTTGAGTCCGGCAAGGTGACTCGCGCGGGACTGGATGTCTTCGCCAACGAGCCGAACGTGAACTCGTACTTCAAGACCAGCAACAAGGTCATCGTGCAGCCGCACTTGGGCGGGTTGACCGACGTTTCCTTCGGTCGGGCCGAGCGCGAGTGCTTCGAGAACATCAAAGCCCTCTTCGCCCACGGCAAACCCAACTCGCCAGTCAACACGCCGCTATAAGGCGCGCGCAAGGGATCGGGCGTGAAAAGGGATTAATGAAAATACCATGAAAAGATCCATTTCCTTGACTACCCATGCATATACCTGTCTTTTTGTCTGTATTTTGTATATTGCTTTCTGTTGATATTCTTTTTCTTTTCTTCTCTTTTCTTTTCTTTCTTTCTGGCGGTCGTCTTCGATCGGTCTACTACCGCTGCAAGAGGCTAGATTCAGGTAAAATAGATGTACGAAGTTTTCGAACCCAAATGCATATAATTGATTCGGGTACTGCCAGCGCAATAATAATGACGTCTAGTGATTCCCTTGCCGCTGTAGCCAGAATATCTGCTTTCGCGAAACATGAGAATGAAATCAAACCAAGGGGGGAGGAGGGAGATAAGAAATAAGACGAGACGTCCTCCCGTCGGAACATTCGGCAAAAAGCAAACTCCTTTACTACTTATTCTTCTTCCTGGGGTGGTAATGATCTATAGAACTCTCCTCGCTATCTTCTTTCTTACTCTACTCTACCTCCGGTATGACTATACTCTGGATCTTCTCCCCCGTGGACTCTATTATCTCCAATAGTCAAAATATCTGGAGTTTGACTTGGGTTAATAAGTCCACGGTACAATACAATATTCAAGTTTAACAAGATCAGAGATATTGATATTAGGATTGATTTTCTCGTGTTAGACCTTCCATGAATCCATACCGTACTTGGCCATCACATACATCGACCGAACAGTGCTTTCTTGTTATATGGCGCGTATAGTTTGCTTCTTCCCAGTCAGGTGGAAGAATATTGTATCCGTCACGCCTCGCCTTCCTTCACTATTTCAACGAGCCAACCCCTTCTACCACGCAAAAGCAGTGGGACTTTATCAACATGCTTTTCCGGCAGCAGTCATTCTCACATGGTACAGATACAGGATACGACACGAATAGTGCGTGAGATAAACACGATTGGCTAATTGTTCATCTAATTCGTATCGCCAAAACACACACAAAAAGGAGAAAAAGAAAAAGAAAAAGAAAAAACAAACAAACAAACAAACAAACAAACAAACAACGCGATTGTATACGCCCGGTGCCCCCCGTTTATCCTCCTCGCCGTAACTCTTTCTTTCCTTGACCCTGTGCGTAATGTGAAAAGATGTATATATGTCCCTTTTAATCCACCAAAGCACTCAACATGTTCGACAGTCTCCACTTCTTGTCCCGAGTAGGGCGCCCCGCTCCCGTGTCCGTGCGATAGAACCGCCGCATCGAATCCAGGTCGACTTTGGTCCCCTCGATCCAGAACGGGGTCCGGTAGAAGAGCTTGGCCGCCGCATAGATGACGATAACCGCCACGACGCTCACGTAGTTGGCGAAGAAGTTGCTGACGCTGGAGGCCTCGTGCAGGGGCCAGACGCTGAGGTAGAACTCTAGCCCCATCAGAACGACACACCAGACGAGGCCCCAGTAGGCGGAGAAGGGGAACCATCGACTCCGCCAGGCCAGACTCGACAAGGGCCGCCCCTGCGCCACCCAGGCGTATCTCATGCGGATATGGGAGAGGCAGATGATGCCCCAGCCGAACAGCACGAAGAGCGAGGTGAGGTTGGAGAACCACGTGAACACTTCGGCCCCGCTGCTGCTGACGTTGAGGAAGGAGATGCCCCCGCCGATGATCAACGTGCTGAGGACTCCCGCCCAGGGACGACCGTCGTCGTCGGCACGTCCGAAGATCTAACAGCGGGTGAGTTTGAATCAGTGATTAAAGAACAGGAAGGAAATTGGAAGCCCAGCGTAGGGGCAAGAAGACGCAAACGACATACCTTGGGAGCCATGTTGATATGTGCCAGGCCCATCAGGGTCCTGGCCCCGGCGTAGGCGGAGATGCTGCCGGTGGAAAGAACGGAGATCATGATGACGGCGTTCATCATGTGGGCCAACGGCATCAGGCCGGCCGACTTGTACGCCAGCACGAACGGTGAGGCGTTGGACCCGGAGTTGCCGAAGAGATCCGGGTTTTGGGGGTCCACGTTGATCGTCACGGCCAGGGACCCGAGGATATAGAACAGAGAGAGACGGAGCCAGATGGAATTCACTGCTTTGGGCACGGCGGTGCGGGGCTGAGACGTCTCCGCGGCCACCAGAGCAATGTTCTCCGATCCAGACATGGCGAAGATGCAAATGGGGAGTACGGACAGAAACCCTTTGAAGCCGTTGGTGAACGGGGCGATGTTCCAATAGCGGAAGCCAATGGGACCTTCACCAGGGCTCCCTCCAGCGGAAATAACTGCAGCATTCGAACAAAAACAAAGTCCCGTCAGCTTTCCATTCTGCCATCCCGGGTGACTTGCAGAGGGGGATCTCTTCTGGAATTGCACAAACTACTTACCGATCAAGGATATGATCACGACGATAATCCAAAAGAACTTGATGGCGGAGGAACAGACCTCTACCTCACCAAAGAACCGGACGGCCCAGACGTTGATGAAGACGATGATGGCCCACGCTATGATGATGGCCGCCGGAGTAGGGACTTTGTCGGTCCAGAAGTTGAGGGTGGTGACAAACCCCTATGGAAGCAAGGTCAGTAACCCCATATAAAAAGCTCGTTGGGGTGGGGTTAGAGGAGAAGTCAGGGTAGAACGGTACCTGTAGCTCGTTGGCCACTGTGATGAAGTATTGGATCCAATATGCCCACCCCAGTGTGAAGGCGACTGCAGGGTCAATGAATATCTGTGCCCATTGAACGAAGGCCGATGGCAGAGGATATAGAACAGCCATCTCTCCGATAGACTGACTGACCGCCCACACCATGGTACCACTCAGCACGTACCCGATTACTAGAGCAGCCGGCCCTCCTTTCTGCAGAGATGTTCCACTGCCCAACCACAACCCCATGCCAATGGCCGAGCCCAACGCGATCATGGTCAAATGACGAGTCGATAGCGACCGATGAAGGTCTGTTTCGGCTCCATGATCAACATCTTCGTCCAGAGTCGACTTGCGTGAGATGACTTTCTTCTGTTCTGGTCCCGTTGCACTGGCAAGAGACACTTCGGATTGGATTTGAACCATTGGAACGAGACTGAATATCTGGAGGAACCTTTGCCGTTGTCGTCGAGAAAGAACAAACCCAGGTCACTACCCTCAATATGCAATAGCAATCATTTAGAGATGACTATAAGACTTTCAGGCAAAGGGAAGGGAAGGGGAGGGAGGAGTAGTCTTTCGAACTAAGCGAAGTCAAGTACGCTACGCTACGGTGGCAATCCTGACTAAAGCGATATATCTACCATTGGGAGATAAGAACGAAGTCATGCTGATTCGCAGAAAATGATAAGAAATGTCTTTGCCCAGGAAATGACGGACTACAAGGAGCAGTCATGCAGATCTGGATCCTCTTCCCCGGCAATATCAGGGATGTAGACGTTAGTGTTTGATGGAAGGTTGGGGAAATCGACCAATACCAGGATATCTACTGGCTGATTGTAGTCGTTCCCACCAGAAACCTCTTCCGAAGGGCCGAAAGCCTACGGGACACCATTTACCTCCATTGGGTCCACCAAAGAGACTCCAGATATCGTGGGCATGAGTTCAAAGCATTCGGGCTCAAATAGCAATGTGTAAGAAAGGACCTGCACCGGAGCCAATCACGGGGAAACCCGAGGAATAACGGGGGTGGAGCCAGTGGCCGAATTCGGGGCTTCCCGACTACGTCCACGGTGAACTCGATAATCGATAATAGATAATAGAGAAAGATAAAAAAAAAAAAAAAAAAAGACATACGGAGTACTCTCCCTCGTTGCCCTATCGCCTGTGTGTCATACTTCAAACCGTGATGAATCACTGACTCATTTCGCCACGTAATAAAGGTCAAATTAGCATTGCTACTATCCTGGCCTAGATCGATATCGGTAGCGCATCTGATTCTTGTACCTTGCTTCTCCAACTGCTGCCATCCTTGCACCCTTCCTAATCAGCTTTTTTCATCCCTACCAGGCTCTTTGACGTACATTTCTGTGTGCATTTCTGCGAAGATGGACCTCCATACTGCGAACGGCTCGACCCTCTTGCAGAATATTGATCAATGGCGAGAACTCTGCGAGCCCATGCCGACGGGGATCTCTCCTGCAACCAGCAGCGATAAATTCAAAAGCCCGGTACAATTCCATGCAATCGCGTCTATTCGTCCGAAGCATTGCGTTTCTAACGAGACCTCTGGGGTTAGGCATGTGCAGCAAAGCCCAAGGCCAAGGATGTCAGCCGTAAGTCGCCCGCTCTTACCGACGAGGTGGACAACTTACTTATTGTACTCGGTGAAACGCATTAGATTTTCTGTCGGAGGAGTCGGCTAGTCGCAAGGTATGACTTGGACTTGAATTCCTGCATCGCGTACGGGGCCCTGCAAATACTGACGATACGTTTCTGGATGTCAGGGCTCCACATTGAAGGTTGCTGCAAGGTACCTGAAGACCCCAGGTATCATCTCTCTTGGGGGTGGATTGCCTTCTCCCGAGTACTTCCCCATCGAAAAAGTGCGGGTTGATGTCTCTCAGCCCGCCGGCCACCAGGCCACCGCCAATGGCAGCCTGGCGACCATAGAGGCAAGCAAGGGTGATGTGCGCAATGGCCGGGGCTTGTACGGTAAGCTTGTCGCAGTCCATGCAATTAACCTTCACACCAATGGAGCACTGATAAGCGAGCCACAGATCTGGAGGTGGCGCTCAACTACGGTCAAGCGGTGGGGTCTGCTCAACTGCTGCGATTTGTGACCGAGCATACCGAGGTGCGTACTTCGCCGGGGGAAAGTCGAATTGAATTCTCTGATGGGCTAAACTGATGTTTGCGAAAAGATCGTTCATAGCCCTCTGTACTCGGACTGGCAATGTTGCTTGACCTCTGGCACCACATACGCGTGGGATGCCACCTTGCGGATGCTGTGCCAGCGAGGCGATTATATTCTGATGGAAGAATACACCTTCTCCAGCGCCCAGGAGACGGCACTCCCTCAGGGACTCCAGATTGCGCCGGTCCCGATGGACGACGATGGACTGCTGCCCGAGCGTCTGGATGAGATTCTCTGCTCGTGGGATGTGCAGGCTCGCGGGGCGCGGAAGCCGCATGTCCTATACATGGTGCCCACCGGCCAAAATCCCACCGGCCGCACGCAGCCGGCAGCCCGACGCCGTGCGATCTATGCCGTTGCCCAACGGCATGATCTGTGCATCATCGAGGACGAACCGTACTATTTCCTCCAGATGCCCACCACCACGACGGGCGCGGAGCAGGAGTCCTCCTCAAGCGAGCTCCCCTCGCACGAGTCGTTCCTACAGAGTCTGATCCCGTCATACTTGAGCCTCGATGTCGATGGACGAGTCCTGCGCCTGGACTCCTTTTCCAAGGTGCTCGCGCCCGGACTTCGAGTGGGCTGGATCGTCGGCGCCGAGCGGCTGGTCGAGCGCTTCACGCGTGGGTGCGAAACCTCCAACCAGAACCCTTCCGGTGTCTCCCAGATCATAATCTATAAGCTCCTGGACGAGCAGTGGGGCCATGCTGGATATCTAGACTGGCTCATGCAGCTGCAGCAGTCCTATCGGCGGCGCCGCGATGGCATGCTGCAGGCCTGTGACAAATATCTGCCACGCGAGATTGCGAGTTGGGATGCGCCGGTTGCCGGCATGTTTGTCAGTACCATTGCTTTTCTTTCTTTTCTTTTCTTCTCTTCTCTTCTCCTCCCCCGCGTGTGCGTATCAACTCAAGCAACTAACCCCGAACTCAAAGCATTGGATCCGTGTCGACTGGACCAAGCACCCTGCGGTTAAGGCTGGGAAGACTCCCGAGGAAATCGAAGAGGCCGTGTTTCACGCGGCAGTAGACGCAGGTGTTCTGGTTTGCCGCGGCAGTTGGTTCCGCGCAGGAGGCGCCAGTATCGGCGACAATCCCCTCTTTTTTCGCACCACCTTCGCGGCGGCTGGTGCCGACGCGATTTCCCAGGCGATTTCGCGGCTCGGGCAGGCGCTGAGAGCCGAGTATCAGCTCGATAGCAGCGTATGAGATTTGTCTGCGGCGGCAAAAAGCGTCGACAGGTTGGAGGCACGGTGCCTCAAGGTCCACGCAGGTTGGCATTATAGCCGGAGTGAATATAGATAGATACTTGGCAGACAAGCTGGCATTAACCTTGGTCTGTACCGTTCGAGGCCTTCTTGAGGGAGGCAGAAGGGGCGAAGGGGGAGGGGGGGGCGGAGGGCGCGCGGGCGCCTTTATTTCTTTTCATGTTAGACTATCTCAATACCACTTCATGAACATTCACAGTCACATTCTACAGTCCTCTCCAGAAAAACAGACCCAGACTTAGACCCATAACCATAGCAAAAGTAGCGATGGACTCAGTCGGACTGACTACGTGCTTCTACACTTCTTAAGGGGAGCCTCGTATACCTGCAATAACTTTGAGCCGGGAAAACAAAGAGATCACCGCCGGTTCGAGGAAGAGAACCACAAATTCAGAGGGCAGAGCATACTCCCTGCTTCACACGAAACAGAACTAACAATAATTGCCAAACCACGTGGTGGCTTACCCAGCCCTAACAAGGGCCGATCTACCCATAGCATAGAACAGTAGTACCGGCTGTCACTACTCTATGCGCGGGAATATAGGGAATAGCACCGAATGCATGAAGCAGAAGTTGCCTAGATGCCCCCCATGAACAGGCCTTATTGTCATATCCAATCAGAATATACCTCACGTGCCAAACTGAAGTCATGAAATCTACGCCTATTATCAACAGTGATGACTGGTGAATGTGGATAACGATTAATGGATCTCTTGCCACAGGCCCGAAGCTTGGGATAGGCAGAACCCTCAGCCTGCCCTGGGGGGGAAGGGGTCGCGCTGTCTTTGCTGCTGTCTCCGCCACATGAAGGCTTCTTCCGAGACAACCGAGCAAAGGATGCTGGACCGGACTCTGAATCATTCGACCTCTTCTCCTCTCCCTCGCGCAGACGCGCGGGCCGGTCGCCTGGACTGTCTCTCCTATCGTATCGCCGTGCACGATACTGGCGGGACATCTTATCGTTGCAATCATGAATAATAGATAATAGGAAATCAGGATGCGGCGGGGCGTTGGCCCCGTTTCTTTCTTGGCCTCCGTGCTCCCCCTCCCCCTTCCCCCCCATGTGGCGGTTCTTCGGCTATATCCGTCACTGGCTGGATTTTGGCCTTGGCCCTTTCTCGAGCGTGGCAAAGACAGCATGGATGGAAGGTAGGGGTGGGGGTTCGATCCGGTGCGGAATGTCCCTCACCTTTTCGGTCGAGAAGGGCGTTCGTTCTGCATACTAGGCTATCACTGACCTGGGGACTTTTGGATCCCGGCTCTATGGCTCTCAAATGAGCCCCAGTAGATTGGCGAACCCACAATTCAGGTCTTACGTTCTCGTCGTCCACTCTAGGAGAAGACATCTATGCGTTTTCGTCCCGAGGTAAAACTTTATGATGACTACGATCTACAGCAGATAAGGAGGGATGGGATGCCACCTTGTACGCTTGCATTGGTAAAGCACGGATCAGGCTGGGCTGTCGCTACTACGTTTGAAGGTTGCAGGGATGTACGGTTGAAGGTCAAGTTTACAGGCATGAACAAAGGGGGGAATTCTCATTATGTTTAGGTGTGATGTTGTAAAGCACAGACTTCTATGCACGAAGCTCCAATCCAAGAATCTTGAAACAACGCTCGACGCTCTGCCTTTGATGCGATGCATAGAGCCCATCCATGTCCAAAACCGTAGCCCCCAATGACCGGTTGAAACCGGCCTCATCTGCCGTGGATTCGCGGTGGGCAAAGGCCGACTTGGACGTAAGATTGGACTGGAAGATCCCTGCCGCGGAGAAGGGCAGGAAGTCCTCGTAGGTGATCGGTGTCGCCACAATGACTGACTGCTGAATGAGCTGGTCTAGGAGATCTGCGGCATCGCTGGCCGCGTCCACGCGGCTGGGATCGAAGGAGGTTTGGCGACAGGAATATTCAAAGTACACCAGTCCCTGGCGGCGCAGCTCCGTCCAATCATCGGGGTACTGGGCAAAGACTTCGGCCATGATCTCGTCGGTGCGCGAGGCATCGGCGTGTTCGGCGTCCGCCCGTTGCAATGCCTCGTCCAGCAAGGCGTCGTACAGCTGCCGTCCCTTGGTGGTGGGAGCCGCCCCCCGCTGCTCGATTTCCCCGAACCGGGCCTTGTGAGACCCTTGGACGACCCTCGCCGACGATGCGTGACTCGGGCCATCTTCTCGGAAGCCAATCGACTCTTCAAGGGCAAGAAAGCTGGTCTGTCGGAGGAGGATGGGACACGCACGGCGCGGGGGGCCTTCGATGCGGTCCTTAACCGCCATCCCCGCCCGGGCCATCTGGCGATGAGACTCCTCGATGTCGAGTGCCCGGGGTGTGAGATGATTGATATGGGCGCTTGTGAAACTGGCAATATCGGCGAGAATAGGATGGGCCTTGCGCATCTCCTGGTACTGGGACACAGTGGCCGCGGCCATCCCCTGCCAGCGGAAGGACTCCAACGCGTTGGTGATGAATGATTCGGCCTGCTGCCCGGTCAGCTGGCCGCCCTGGGCCTCGGCCTGATCGAGCAGCAATAGCAAATCATCAGTAAAGATCTGCCGACGGCTGAGAAGGTCGAGGGCAATCTGTTTGGACGAATCTGTCGTTATGAGCTCTGGTCGGAGGAGCGTGGTGAACACGCGGAAGGGGTTTTTCTGCAGCGCGGACGCCTCCGTAGGGCGAAAGCAGGTGGCGTGCATGGGCAAGCCCGCCACAGCCAGGTCATAGTAGCCCACAGGAGCCATACCGAGGAGAGCGAACACCCGCCGGATGGTCTGCAGCTCCTGCGGCGTCCCCAGTCGAATGGCGCCGTGACGTTCCAGCCCCAGACGATGGGCCTCATTGGCTGCGATGGGGTACGCTCGATTCACTTCGCTCACAATGCGCACCAAGTCTCCGTATAGGGGAACCTCTGCCCGGTACATGGCGGACATGTTGGCCGCGAAAGTCGAGCGCAGGTCATCGCGATGTACGTAGTCCTCTCCCGTGTACTGTGAGGCAGCCGCATGATGCGGGGACGCTATGTGACGAACGGTAACTGACGTCGACATTGTGTATGTAAGGAAACAGTGAAAGAGATGGCTTTAAGACGGTATGGGGCTTCAGAAGGAGTGAAATATCATATGGATTTTATGGTCCCCGGCAGACCAAGTCCGGAAGACCAGATGCCATAGTTATACTCCTTTCGGCGGAAGGCGCGTTGGATCGGATCACCAAATCACACCACCCACTTCCGAGCCCCAGTAGTAAACTCACCGGACTTTCTGAGGAGAGTTTGAGGGTGCTCCGTGATCATCCAGTATCAGGATCCATGATGCTACCCCGGGTGGCCTCGTTCGGAAACTACCCCTGGCAGCGCAGCTGAGCTGAGAGACGGGAGTGTGGAAAGGTCGCCCGTCAGCCAATCACGGAAGAAGCCGTGCTGACACATGGTCTTCTTATCTCCGCCACTCGTCGCGTATCTTCCTTTCCACCAGCAATTCCCTGGTCGTAAATTTATTATCTCACAAGTATGCTTTGGAGCTCGAAATTATATTTCTCTCGATCTTCTTCTTTGTCTCATCTTATCATGGTGTCTTTACCTCGAACTTTTCCTGTTGTTTTCATCAATTCCTCCCCCCCCCAACCTCCCTTCCTACACAATGAGCTCAACTAGTACAACAACGGTGACTGCCACCACCACCACCACCACACCCAAGCATGCATCCGAGGTTCGGCCCAACCGAGTACACTTCATCCCCCGACCTGAAACGAAAGAAGAAGAACGGCGATGGCTCCTCGAGCAGATGGCAGGGGCATTCCGCATCTTTGCTCACCTGGGCTATGCGGATGGTGGAAGTGGCCATATTAGTCTTCGAGGTTGGTAATCGACAGACTCCCCGGGGGCTCTCGTGCTCCCTCATCTCGCATGGTGTAAACCCCTAATAACCCGACATACAGACCCTGTGGAGCCTAGTACCTTCTGGATCAATCCCTACGGCGTCCACTTTGGACTGCTGCGCGTCTCAGACATGGTCCGGGTTGATGAGCACGGGAATCGCGTGGGAGGGGCGGACCGTGCGATCAATAACGCTGGCTTTATCATCCATTCCATCTTACACCAGCGACGACCCGACGTCGTGGCTGCCTGTCACGTGCACAGCCCCTATGGCCGGGCCTGGAGTACCTTCGGCCGCGACATTGACATGATTAACCAGGGTGAGCTTGGCCCTTCTGTTGAGTGAGCACGAAGTCGGGAGCAACCTCCACTAATTTAATACCTCGGTGTTCTTGGACTCAGACTCCTGCATGTTCTACAATGATCTCGCCGTATACCCTGCATTTGGCGGAGTGGTATTTTCCCAGGACGAAGGGGTGCGGATCGCGGACGCTTTGGGACCAACCAAGAAAAACCTGATCATGCAAAACCACGGCCTACTCACGTGCGGCGGCACGGTGGCAGAAGCGGCGGCTTTCTTCATTGCGCTGGAACGAGCCTGCCAGGCTCAGATCATGGTGGAATCCATGGTAGCACCTAACACAGTCGGGGCTTCCACCGGGCTGAAGAAAACCGTCATCGATGCGGATGCCGCCGCGTACACGAAGCGAGGAACGGGCTCGCCCGAGGTCATGTATTGTCAATTCAAACCGGAATACGACCTGATTCTACAGCGCTCGGGCGGGGACTTCTTGCTGTAAGTTGCTGGGTGGTTGACGATTCGCACCGGGCGGGTTGCGGGCTAGTCTGGGGCTAGTAGTCTATTGTGGATTTCAATGGCTGTGATGATTGTTCGATGTTTATGATATTCGTGGGTGACAATGAGATGAGATAGAGAAACAGGCGTTGGCTGTACTGAAAGAATACCCGAAGACGGGAAGCCAATAAATACTTGTGAGTATTCCAGACGACTGTAGATATTCAGAGAAGATCATTCTTCCTTGACTTATATTTAGAGTAGATATTCTTATCGATATAGAAAATACTGAGATCAAATCAAATGACAACCAAGAGATAGAAGGATCAAAGAAGATATACAGAGTGGCTTGATCGCCTGGGTTATAAGAGGTTGAAGAGGTTGCTGCTATGGTAAAATATCTTAGTTCCAGACCGCAGGGCTAACGAGCTAATAACATAATCGGACACTGAACCGCGGCGACCCCAAGCCGCCGCTAACATGCATCCAGCCTAGCTAAACGCCCGAGATCCAGCTGTGTCCACCCGTTCAGGCCTCGAGTCCCTTGAAGCCCACTCTGGTTCGCCAGGAAGGATCAACATCCTCTTCCATGATCCATCCTCGAAAAAACTCTCCTGGGTGGAGTGGACCACCTATCGCCCAGGAACCATGTTCGGATCTCATCACGCGTCCTTTTTCTGTCGGCCGGCTGCCATCATGGCCATCATAGTCATCATGCACTCTCCTCTCTCGCGACAGAGTTCTCTTGGAGGAGGGACAATCACTGTTTATTTAATAACTTAAATCAGACTTGGTTTATTATTTTTTTTAACTATAAAACTTACTAGAACTTAATCTATTTTATAATTTACTGGATACTTAATCTTTGTTAAATAATTAATAATTTTATTTAGTACTATGATTATAGTAATATTAATCATTTTTATTTTATTATAATTAAGTAGAAATAGATAGAGTATTTTTTTAAGTTTCTATACATTTTTTTTTATATTATATTTATTTAAAAACAGTAGGCCTACTGTTTATAAGATTTATAATATTTATAATAATTTTTTTGATTATCTGGATTACTTATTTAACTGACTAGTAAAAAAGCAGATACTCTAAAAAAAAAGATTTTTAGAAGTTTATAGAATATATATTAAAAGCTTTAAAAATACTACTATTATATTTATTAAATAGAAGATTATATCTATATAATTATAATTATTTTAAACCTAATATTAAAGCTTAAGAAGTTTAAAAAAAATATCTAGTTAGATAATAATATTAACTAGTATTTTAAATACCGAACTGTTTTTAAAAAAATATTTTATTTTTATTATAGTTAGAATCTAATTATTAATATATTATTAATTATCTCCGGGTTATTATCAGACCTAGATAAAGTCTTTTATAATATTTTTAAATATTAAAAATTCTTACCAGTAGCTAAAATATTTAAAAAACTTAAAATATATTTAAATATTAAAAATATATAGTTTATTAAAATATTTTTAATTAAACTAATATTATTCTAAGTATTATAAAATATACTAATATTCTTACTTATTAAAAGTCCCGCTGTAATTAGTTTTTTGTTTTTTATTAAATAATTAAAAATTTTTTTTAGTTACTACTAATAGTATTAATATTAAATATCTATTTAATAATTTTTAAGATATTTATTATTATTACCGGAACTGTTTTGATTCTAATATAATTAAAGTAGTAATATTTTAAATATATACTAATTATTTTATTATTAATAAAAAATATTAAAATATTTTTAATAATCTTAATCTAAATTTAATTATCTTTATATCTAAGAAATAAGAAGAGAATAAAATAATTATTATTAGAGTGGCTAACAGCCAGGTCAGGTCAGGTTAATTAGAATTTTTATACCTGACCGCCAGGTTATAGCCAGATTAAGGAAATTTTTATATCTAACTGCAGTATAGCTAAAAAAGAAATAGTTAACTATTTTAATTATTCTTAATATTAAGATCTATCTGCTATATCTATTTAGGCTCTAGCACGGTTAAAATATATTTAGATTAAGCAGTTATTTGTTAAGATGCGGGCTGGCTGGCTGGGTGGTAGAGCAAACAAGAACTGGCAGGCAGATCTAAGAAGTCTTCTAGCAAGTCTAATAATATCAATTAGTTCTGTACGCTATACATCGAGCTATATATACAGATTAATAAATAAAATATAGCTTAAAAAGCTATAAAAAGATTTAGAAACAGATAGATTTTTAAGCAGATGCGGAATTATTGTAAAGCGAAAGGTCAGTTAGGTATAGAATAGTAGCAGTCTATTGATTTTAAGACTAATTCTTGCTCTTCTAAAGATCTAGCAAGATCCTAGAAGTTAAATACTAAAGAAAATAGAAGTTCTTAACGTTACAACTATAATATAAAAAATATATAAATATTCCGCTACTATTCTTTTATAGGATCAGAGATTATATATAATAATTAGGCTTTCTTTTAGTATACAGCTCTTTTTAGTAATATAATAATAGTATAATATAACTATTTTAGTACAGTAGCAGATAGCAGAAAAATATAAACTAGTTCTATTTAAAATATATATTATAAATGATACTATTCTACTTTAAAAATACTGTAGTTCTTTAATAATAATAATAATAATATAAATATAATTCTATATATCTTTCTTAATCTATTAACTTCGTTAAAATCTTTTATTTTTTATAACAAAAAACTTATATTTAGCTGTTATTTTTATCCCGGTTTGTTTATTCTATAATATATATTTGATAAATTATATTTTATATTTTCTTAATATTATTAAGATACTAATAAATAGCTATAATATTCCTGTTATATTATTATATTTTTTATAATAAATTATCAGCCTCTGGCTCAGACTTTATTTTCTTCTAATTTTTTTTATCTAAAATATCTTTAAACTAGTATAAAAAATTATAAGTATAGTTCCAGTAAAGAATTTAAGTCTAAATATATTTTTAATACTATTTTATTAATAAAATATTAATAGTATATTAATCAGAAAATAAATTATACTTCTATAAGTTTTTTTCTGTTTAAACTTTTAGACCCCAGCTAAACATATACTAAACAATATTAATAATACTAAATAATACTAGTAATCTATTATAGATTTTCTACTAGTTAAGCTTTTTTTAGATAATAGAAAAAGCAAAAGGGTATAATGCTATTTTTTATATTTTTTTAATTTTTTAGCTGTTAATCTTACTGTTTAGTTTATTAATATAGAAAAGACTTATTATATTAAATATAGTATAGCAGCTACTACTAAAAAAGCTATAATTATAAATAATATTAACTATTTATAAAAATTATATTAACTTTCCGATAAAAAATCTAGCTGTTTATTATAGTTTTATTATAAAATATTATATTCTTACTGTTCAGACCAAAGACTTATATAAATATTTCTATTTTTTATCTAATAATATTAGATATTTTTTTTAGTATTATACAGTTATTTTCTGTTTAAATAATATGATTTAAAAGATTATATATTTTTATATTAATAGGAATAGTAATAAAAATTAATATATTATTAATACTAAAAACAGCTTTTCTATTAGTATTATTTGCGGCTTATAGTTTTGTTAATATTCTATATTTATTTTTTATATAGTAAAATTTTCTACCGGTAGTTTTTATTTAATTATTTTTTTAGTTTTAATAGTTCTATTAAATATATATAATCCGGGTTTTTTTTAATATTATTTTACTTGTAGTTTATACGTGTAGTTATAAATAAAATAAATATATAATATAATAGATTTATATTTTTTTTATTATAAATTATATACGCGTCGCGTATACTTTATACTTATTTTATTATTATTTTTATTATATATTAATCTTAATCTATATATTATAGAATAGACAGCTGTAATCCGATTATTAAATTTATAAAGTTTTTATTAAATATTTACTAAATTCTCTGCTAATAATTATTAATTATATTTAAAAAACTATTTCTGCTATTTTACTAGATAAAACTAATTTTTTTAGTAATATAAATTATCTAATATCTGCTCTATTTTCTATTTCTTGTTATTATCTAAGTCTAGTATTAATAAAGTTTCGGAAATATTTTTTCTGATTTTTTAGGATTCTAGTAAAGTAATATAAAAGATATTATATAATTAAGTATATTTATTAAAAAAATATAAATAAAATACTTGTTTTTCTACGGTCTTTAAAATTCTAAAAAGTTCTATAAATTTTAGGACTAATTTTCGAGGAGTTTTTTTAAATTTAATATTTATAGTAGATAGTTTAACTAAATCTTTTTATTTAAAAATATAGATTATTTTATTATTTTATTTAAAAGATAGAATACCGCAAGAACTATTATAATAAATTAATTAGTTTTTATTTATTGTTTACTAGTTTTCTTTTAGTTTTTTTTATAAAATATTTAGCTTTAGAGTGGCTAACGGCCAGGTCAGGTCAGGTTAATTGGAATTTTTATACCTGACCGCCAGGTTATAGCCAGGTTAAGGAAATTTTTATATCTGACCGCGGTATAGCTAAAAAAAAAACAGTTAACTATTTTAACTATTCTTAGTGCCAAGACCTGCCTGCTATATCTATTTAGACTTTAGCATAGTTAAGATATATTTAGATTAAGCGGTTATTAATCTGACTATCTTAACTATTATCTAAAAGTATATAGAAACAAGCTTTTAAAATCAAAAAAAAATAACTAAGAGAAGTATTAGTATCTTTTTTATTTTTATCTTAAAAAATTAATCAGAGATTTCTAATAATATTAATAAAATTTAGTTTTTTATAAAATTATGATTCTTACAGCAAGAAATATATATAAAAATATATAATTACAGCTTGGTTTAAGCTGTATATTTTAATTATAATATATAATATCAGAAAAACTATATATTTACTAATAAT